ATTGTGTGGGATAGCCCTAAACCCGTGTTACTCTCTGAGCTTGGGGTCGGTTTTCCAGCGAGCAAATCACAACCTATTTCGTTTTTTCACTGTCTTGTGGCTTGGAGAAAAGGGAGCAATACACCGAAGCGGTTGTCCGCCTCCGCGTAGGTTTTGGTATCCGGGCGAGCGGGCACCTTCCCCTCTGAAACACCCAGACGAGCAGGGTGCGAGCCGCCACCAGTGTTGATCGGAAGGAGATGACCGCACTCCAAAACAGACTGATAGGTTCTGTGTTGTCCGCCCGTCCGGCTCCATCTTCTTCCTCGGCTGCACAATAACGACAACAAACGTCTATGGTCAGAGCTAGAGGGGTGCCGCTGGAAGTTTTCTCCGGATAACGTGGAAGGGTTCGAGGGGGCCAACCTTGCCCCCTACACGAGAGTGGTCTGGCCAGCTAACCTCGACGACCTGACGCCCTGCGACGAGGACGCGTGAGTAAACAAACCTATTAGCCTACCCACCCGGTCAGATCGCGAATCGCGCTAAGTGTGCGTCGTTCTGTCAACCTTCTCAACCGTTCAACATCAATCAGTCATCCTACGATCGTTCTGAAAATCTTGTTCTGACGAAGAAAACCGAAGGTTTCTTTGTTTCGTTTGATTTCAGGCGGTAGTCGTCGACCTCGAATCTCCGCTTCGTTTCATCTTTTCGTCAGATTTCGCCCTTTTACTCCTTGTGGTCTTGAACGGGTTATCCTCATTTTTTTCACAAACCTTTCGTCGCCTTTTGTCGATTTCGTCAGCGACTGCCAAGACAGCGCCAGCGAGAAGGAAGGCTACGGCTTTTGCGGCATCTACGAAGAACGTTCGAACGACGGCGCCTTCTTGACGGGCTCAGCGATCCCGGGCGTCTGCGGAAAGCCTGTCGGCTGGATTGGGGCCCAGACCTCGTGCGGGACGACAGCGAAAGGCGGGGAGACATTCCCTGGAGGGTTTCCCTACAACTGTGACCTCGCCACTAGACACGGGACAATCAAGCAGGTGCGGTTCCTGGAGCGTGGACCCACTTCAAGCGTAAGAACATATCAACCGTGTGCATGCGCAAAAATAGTAGCGGTTCGGCTGAAGTCGTTTCAGCACGATTGTATAGCCTATCGAAGTTGATGGTTGGGCGTAGAGGTTAGTAGCTTCTTTAAAATGTACGTGTACATGCAACATCGACCAACGACAACTATTCTTTGGAATGTCAAATAAGGTATTCTTAAATTGCGCTCCTTGTACCGCGCTGGCCTGCGCACAGGGTGACTGGCAAGCGGAGTCCCCATTTGGTAGAAGGCGATGTGTTATTTTCGGGCCAACAGAGACAGGCGTACTCTATTTCTTCCCGCTCAAGTGCGCATGAAGAGGTCTGGTTTGTTCGCAGCAAGTGGTCGTGTTGCCCGTGCAATTACCTGTCCCATCTTAATTTGACCAACTCACGGTACCACCCACCCTCTTATTTTCTTTGCATCAAGCCAGAAATTGCGGCGACAGACCCGAATCCGCTCACACGCACTCGCCAACCCACGGACCCGCCTCCCGATCCGCACACTGCAAATATTCGGTGTATGCAACTAAACCCTTGTGCGAATATGGCAACAACACATGTTGGCTTCGGCGCCTAAAATAGATGAGTCGTCGATGACGTTCGCCTCTTCTTGTGTGCCTCCTGCCTGACCAATCAAACCTCCGCGTTCAACAAAAAATAACGGTTGCGTTTTTGTGTGTGTAGTCTCCTCTGATGTTATGTGTGTTCATGCCCTCTCCTGTCTTGTGTCCATTGATCTCACACACTCCCCGTTTGTAGTTGATAAGATGCAGCGGGTCCACCTACAGCAAGCAGGCGTGCTACCTCGACGGCGCGGAGGTATGTGCGACTTTCCGCGTCACGTGTGCCTTCAACGTCGTGTTGCTGCTGCTACCCTTTGGTGCGTGCGCCGTGCGTTGTCATCAGTGCCGTCTGCGTGTGGACTTTAGGTGGCGTTCCATTCTGTGGCCGTCAGGGTGACGGTGCGGTGCTAGCTTTATCCATTGAATAAGCTTGCTTGTTGTTCTACTTGTAAGGAAGAAGTGCCTTGCACGGGGAGGGAGAGGGGATGAATCTTCAGCCATCGATGGCATATCCAACAACGGGGTGGAAGATTCTCTAATTCGTACCATGTCTCTACAACGTTCTATTCGGGGCCTCTGCAAAGATTCCATTCTCGTTTAAACGTGCGCTTGCGTGAGACAATCGGCTGTAACGTCGGTTTTCTCTCGGAGACACACCTGATGGTTTCACTGTTGTGGCTGCAGGCTTCACTATCGGTTGGGAGCACCAATTCCTCACTTTTTGGTCCAGGGGGTACCTTGTGAGAAATGCCGACTCCGAGGTTGCAGTCTTTCCACGATTCTCTTTTCAGGGTTTGGGGGACGTGAAACAACGACCCCGGTAGGTAAACGAAGAATCGAACAAGCACGCCCAACCCCCCCCAACCACTGGCGGTTTGCTTCGAGGTATCTACGGGGCTAGTTGCGGCTTCACGCTTCGAGAGACATCAAGAACGGGGGGGGAGGCAGGACGCCCATCACCAACCCCGTGCCATGGGCACAACAAGCTGCGACACCTCGCAATTTCCCCCCTGAGCCTCCGCGTCGCCCCGCGTGCTGGACGCCACACTCGCAGGACTCGTGTTGCGGCTGCCCGCCCTGGGACATCGAGAATGGCGGGTGCGTCTCGACGAACCCCGACTGGACGAACGCGGCCCTCCCGTGGGCCAACTTCTTCAAGTCGGCTTGCCCTACCGCCTACAGCTTCCCTCGCGACGACCGAACGAGCATGTTTGTCTGTTCCGACGAGGCCGCCGACAACGCGGCGACGGTAGCGGGGAAAAACACCCAGTCATGTAAGTTGTCTTCTTCACCAAAAGGAAGGTTTGGTTGATGCATTGTGCGGTGATGATTGGTGTTAGTGTTGATAACGTCAGCGTCTTCCTTGTGAACACTCTTCGTTGGTTTGACAGCAGGTATTACAAGGTTGATTGTAGCCCGTGCGAAATGAAGACGACACGTAGGAGAAGATTGAAACGCCATCATGTTCGACAGAGCGCATACAGTAAAACCTCCACTCAATCGAAAGATTCGAGCGGCCAAAATGATGGACCCACATCGGGTAAGTAAACGTTAATGCCGTCGAAAGTGGAAAAAGCGATATATTGTCTCGTTCGCTCCCGAAGCTTCGAGATAACTCGTCGGCAGCGAAATCTTGAAAGGCAAAATGAGATCCTCCAGCCTCGCCGTAGGCATCACCAAATTCGATTCTGACGTTAACATGATCCGCTTCGAAGAAGAAGATGTTTGGGGTGCTCAGCAGAGTATACTGTCTACGGGGCCTCCGGTGGAAACGCGGATGGTTGTTGTTGTTGTTTCTCACATTAGCTCTAAAAAAAGAAAGATTGGGAGCCCGTGGTCTCAAAACCCGGCATACACGACCCCACGAAGAAACAGAAAAAAATAGGGTACAAAAACCACTCGGAAGAGAAACAAAATGATAGAAAGAAAGACCAGCTACCGCACCAAACGAGAAAGAGCGTCGAGGAGACCGATCAAAATAAAATAAAAGGAGAACGGGGAACGCTTCCCACACCCGCCTACAACGCCGGAGGGTTCCGTGCCGGGTTCCCGCCGACCAGGCATCCCCCGCCCTGCACCACACCCCAGGGGGTGCAGCAAGACGGGGGGCGAAAAACAAACACAT